GCAACAAACTCAAACTTCAAAATCTCTCACAGTTGCAAGCTGCCAGAGAATCATCCGGCGTATAGCAGGATCAAGTATCGATATCTTTATTTCGTCTGTGTGTACGGCGGCAGGCCCAGTGTTAAAAGTTCAAACAGGCGAAACAAGTAAATTTTTTAACTTAAAGTATAACGTGTCAGATCAATTGGCTGTAGGGCTAGATTTACAGCCAGCGAATTCAGCGGCGAGCTTCACGTAAAGTCTGTTTACATGTTGCACAACCACACCTGTAACCGGGTGCTGGCTTCTGCCTACACTAAATACCGTCGCTTCCGGGGCCGAGGTGGCGAGAGCATTACAAACCAGATAACTGAGACAAGACCCTGTGCTGGTCGTCTAAAGGTCTATTTGAGAAGTAAGTCTCGTTTAGAAAAAATATTCTTTGGTTAGATTCTTCCGGCATTACCCTCAAAATGAAGGCTCTTGCAAACATGAAACGACGCATTTTGCCCTCTGATCCTTCAGCAATTGCGATGGCGGAAGCCCTACATAATATGAGAGGAGGCAGTTTGTATGACTTTACGTATGGCGAAAGGGGGCTGGAGGCAATGTGCCTGACAACACCAGCCCTTAAAGCCATGTTTGCTCAGTATGCAAAGGTGGTGCAGATGGATGGCACCTACCCAACTAACCGCCATGGGTTTGCACTGTATCATATAGTGATAACCGACAAGCATGGCGATGCGCGGTCCGTGTTCTATGCTTTCGTTTGGACGGAAACGGCCGAAACACTTGAATGGGTCGTGAGAAAGTTTAAGGAATTGATGGGCCCCGCTACCAAGGAAATACGGACGGTTTTCCTTGAGAAAGATGCCCTGGAAATAGGCGCCTGGAGACGAATGTTTCCTGAAACGTGTTTTTCTATTTTAATACCTACATTCCATGTGCTGAAAGCATTTAGATGCAAAGTCAGTAGGCTCTACCCAAAAGAGGTAGCTGACTTGGCGATGTGTTCTGTGAAGAAGGCTGTGCGCACTGTTAGTTTTTCGACGTACAGGTCAGTAATCCACCACCTTGAGAACGATTTTCCTGAACTATGGCCCTATATTCAAGAGAATTGGTTGACCTGTGAGCGTCTGTGGACCCATCATGCTCGAGCTCGAGTTGTCACATATGGTGACAACACGACAAATAAGACTGAACGTCTTAATCGACTGCTCAGGCAGCGGTGCCGACGCTACATGAGTCTGCCCGACTGTGTAATCAGTCTAGTGGCGCTTCTGCAGTCGGAAGCGGTTGACACGGAAGCTCAAGAATGTTGTCGTCGCAGGCATTATAATGATCGCCCGCGACACGTTGTAGAAATATGCCAAATGTTGACAACGTATGCGTCAGAGGTTTTCCTCAAACACCTTGACGCCAGCAAGGCGGTGAAAAGTATGAGCAAATGGGTGGACGCGTGCAGTTGTCGATTCTTTTCGAATTGGGAGCTGCCGTGTGTCCATATAGTAAACTGCATGGCTGCGAAAGGAGTTGATCCCCAGGTCGTTGTGAGGGGCTGTCGGTGGTTGACTACCAGCCAACAGTTAGATGTCCGTGAGTCTATTGAGGATCCGGACTTACAAGCAATTACTAGTTCTTTAGCAGACGCGGTTTCAGAGGACACAGTGCCTGTATTCACTGAGGAATACAAGGTCAGGGAAGTAATGAAGCTTCTAAATCCTGTTATTGCAAAACTCGTGAGTAGTGATCGAAGGCGATTTGACAAATTGCTTCGTAAAGTAGACGCGTTCATCGACGAAATTAATGATTGTACCTCATCTGATTCCGAAGATGAATCGCCCTCGTACTCTCTAGAGGCAGGAAAAGGAGTGAACATCGGCGCGGGTCCTTCGCGCGTGGACGATATGTTCTGTGCACATGGATTTGGAGATGACCAGCCCGGTGCATCCATATTCCGAAGGAATAAAAAGCGACGGTTGTCTGGCGGTTATTCTGATGAAGAAAGCCGTCTTTAGTCATTTGCATTAGCTACTGTGATAGTAGGCCTACCAGGCCGGAGTTTGGCTGTGATTAATAAGTTCTGACCTCAGTTGTTGTATTTGTCACTCGCCGTACGTAATTCCTTGGTAACATGGTCCTGATTTCCTGCTTGTAAAAGCTTGACACGGCAGTGCAATACCCAGCGGCATCTGAGCAAACGCGGGTAGCACAAAAGCGGCGGCACGGTCATTGGTAAGTACAATTGGGTAAAGTTAAACGTTTTTTTCTCAGGCATAGTAAAACTCACGCACAGGCGTCAAGGAGACGGTGCTCTTAAAGCAATAAATCGACAAATCAATGAGGATTTACCTAAGGTTTTACAGGCGAACACATATCCGAGTGTATCAACCGCCGTCTTACCGACAATGGGCGATGCAAGACATAAAGTGGAAACGGACGGAAGAAGAAACCACGGTTG